CATGGACATTTTGTAATGTTTTTGCATAATGGGACTATGGTCCTTAACAAATAATCGAACTCCATCCGCATCTTTATCAAGCGGACCGAGATAGCGTCCAAGATCGGACAAGTTTGCACTATCCCAACAAAATATATCAGCATATTCGGAAAGTAATGATTTAAGTTCAGCTATCTGGGAAGGATCAAGATCTGACGCTAATTTAAGTTGTTCTAATTGTTCTGGAGTAATTCGACTAGGTCGATTATTATGCATTAATGGTGTAGGATTTGTGTTAAAATGATAGATTTCTTGTGCTGGAGATAAATATCCTACACGGGTTTTTGCATTAAGAGTGACTGGTGGTCCCATGGAAGTAAGAATTATTGTTTGAAGTTCCTACTACTACAAAGCCTGGACCGTATACACAATGTTTAGCTAGAAAATTTACGTCCCATTCAAAAACGTAATTCATGGAAGGTTGAAAAATGTGTTGTAAATCCACCTTCACAGGTAGGGATGTGTAACCAGGGGAATGTAAGACGAAGGTGTCCGCAAGAGTTACCGGAATTTCTATCAGTGAATCTTCTTTTTCAGAAAGATCTATATGATTAAATTCATGAACTGTCGTACTATCTTTAGCTAATTCTTCATCAGATAAGTAAAGGCGAAATTTTTCGTCACCAATTTTAACTTGCTTGAGCGCAAAATTGATTAGACATTTCTGAGAATTTAAAAGGTCATTACCTAAAATTAAAGAGCGGGTCAGATTTGGTGCCACAAAAATTTTATGAGACATTATTTTATTGGATAATTGAATTGAAATCTGAATAAACTGGTTAATTTCATTAGCTCCTGTAACACCAATAATTTTGAATGAGTTACAAGGCTGAATTTTAAATTTAGACGCCATGTCAGGCGAACAAACTGAAATGGAACTACCAGTGTCTATAAGGGTAGATACTTCTAAATCAGGTGAGTTTTTAATTTTTAACCTAAGTTTGATAAATGCCAGAAAAGGATCTATAGTAGCCAGATTATAATATCCGAGGTGTTCGTCGTGTGAACCCATGTTATCCTCGAGTAACATGAGTGGATCTAGTTTCCCTGAGACTTATTCCCTGCTTGGGAATCTGCTAACTTCTGAAGTTTGTTAAGTAATTGCTTTCGTTGGGGACATCCTTCTCGTTCATGTCCTTTTTCTCCACAGCGCCAACATAAAGCTCTGCCTTGCTCATCACGATACTGGCGAGCGAAATTAAATAAGAAAGTGTCGTGTGGATTGACTGACATATTATTGAAGTTAGAATTTCTTGCTTGTTGCCGAGGGAAAGTTTTCGTATTTCCTCTCGTTCCTCCGTCTGAAGGCGGATTAGCAGCAAAGTAACCTTCTGTAATGGCCAGGGGCGGGTTGCCTGTTCTAGGATTTTGATTAAATTGCCGAGTACTTGAATAACGATTCGGATTATCGTAATTTGCCTTAAATTGATTCGATGCCTTTTTAAAGTACGGATTCGGGTGTCCTGGCATATTCTGGTACGGATAACCATAATAAGGGTTCGGGTGTCCCATTGAGGTTTGGCTCGGATTACCAACAGTATAAGGACTCGGGTGTCCCATTGCCGTCTGGCTCGGAGTACCAGTGTTATAGGAATTCGAGTGTCCTAGTTTAGCTTGGTACGGATAACCAATAGATGCAAGATGCGGGTGTCCTGTATTTTTATAACGCGGATAACCGCTAACATAAGGATTCGGGTGTCCCTGTATGTCCTGACTCGGATTACCAGATGATTTAAATTCAAGCTGCACATTCTGCAATTTATGAGCCAACTCTGACCAAGTTTGATCGGGTTGCTCAAGTTTATTTTCCTTATTGGGGAACATAGCCATGAATTTTTCATGATGCAAAAGGATATCCTTGACCTCCATGTCAGTCTTTGGACGTTGGTCATAAACCTTCGCCGCCAGCTCAGGAGGTAAACCCTTTAATAAATATTTAATCCGACGCTCTATTGTCATGGCTGGATCCATTCGCTCTAACAGAGGCAGAACAGTGTATACATACGTCAGTGCCGATCCACATTTTTGATACGTAGCCTCTCTAAGCCTGAGTGCAATATTTTCCTGAGTTTCCGTAATGTCATAAGCCGTTTCAATTTCTTTCTTGACATCAGCCCAGACTAACACTACCTCCGTATAAGTTTTTGCATTCCTTTTTGCTTGGGCGTGTCGATACATATCGTACCAGGCCTTTGCCCCTTCTCTTAAATATTGAGGGAAGAACCTCAACTTATCGTCCTCGCTCCACCCATATGAGATAGCTAGTAATTCATAACGCTGTAGAAACTCTTTCACAGATGTATGGCCGTCGAATTGCACGTCGATTTGTGAAAACGGGGGTAAATAATGCGTTGGGTTAGTCATTGTGAAAGGTATGGCAATAGTCCTACGTTTAGCTTTGACTTTGATTCGAGAAACAATTGGAGGGGGTGTAGGAGGGGGTGGGGGTGGAGGTGCCGTTGGAGGTGGGGACGGAGTTGGGGGAGGTCGGTGTGGGGGTGGACTTGATGAACTCGGAGGTGGAGTTGATGATTTCGGTGGTGACGGCGCCCTGGATTTTGAAGAGCCAGGTGGAGTGCGGGGAACGGATTTTGTTGCCTTGGTAGGGGTTGGTCCCTTCCACTTGATTCTTGGTGAAGGTTGTTCCGCTTTTGTTTTGAAAAAGTTTGGGGAGAAGAACGCCAAAGTTTTTGGAAAACCTTTCCAATCCGACTTCCTGAAGGTCGAGAAATGGGAGAAGACCCTTGGTTGAGATTTGTTTTACATCCAGAACCTCTGTTGTACTGTGTGGGGTGACCAGACTACTCAATAAAAGAGATAGCCAGGCCAGCGGCGGTAGCACATTAAAGGCTAATTGCCGACCTCTGTTAGTGGATGCCCTGTCTTCTAAGGATCTTGGGGTACTGAACGGGTTAGAGTCCTTTTCCAATTCCTTTTTAAGTAAAAGTGGCGGAGCTGTGGATGGTGAACCGTCAAGATCTGGTGGGATCTCTATTACCTCAAATGGGATTGCGGGACAGAAAGGGAACAAAGGAGTAGGACCTGCTACAGTCTCAGTATCAAATTCTTCGTTGGGATGAAATAGATCTTCCTCCGCAATTGAAAGGAGACGTGGACGCCTGGGTGGGGAGGTTCTTTCAGCTTTGAATTCGAAGGGTTCCAAGAGAGGAAAATTTGGGATTTGTAAATTAAGCCTGTGAATTAGGGTTTCTGGAAAAGTTAATCGAGCAGGTAACGTAGAATAAGGAGGGGGGATGTCCCATTCCGGAGGGGCTGAGGGTTTCTGAGGACCAAGGGTTAATCTGCGGCGTGGTTTACGGATGGGTAAGGAAAAAGGATCAGAGTCAACTTTACGTTTGGAACGATTTGAGTCAAGGGTATCAGTTGATGATGAAGGGTCGAAATCCCTTGTGGAAGGGTGGGAGGATGTTAAGGGACGTTCCTGTCGGACTAAAGTTAATTGATGCGAAGGGGGAAAAGATGCTGAGGGCCCTGTCCCTCCCTGAGGTGGGACCTGATTCGGGTCAAAAATCCACTCCCTTAAAGTTTTGAAGGTGGAGGCTAAAAGGCTAGGTCGTTTATGCGATCTTTCAGGTGGTGCGGGGTCCTTAACTGAAGGAAAAAGAGGCTTACCCTTGGTTTGAAGGCTTGTTTTCGAACTAGATGCGCTAGATGTACTAACTGTTTCAGAAGGTTTTCGTTTTTCAAGAACTAATTCAGGGATGGTTTCTGAATCTGACTCTGTGTCTGTAGCTGTATACGGATTAGTGTCTGTTTCTGTGGCTAATTTGGAATAAGGCTTTACTCGTTTACTAGGATGTAATTCGCTGTCTGACATCTGCCTGTGTCGAGAGCTGAAGAGCTCCTGACTAAAAGTTCCCTCGAGCCTGGTAACTAAGTCCAAGATTACTTCGTCCAAGACCGTACATGGAGGTGTTAGCTAACGATGTTGTATACGTAAGATGACGGAGCTCATAGCTTAAAATATTTTTAACCTAACATATCCTAATATGGACAGCAGCCCAGAAGCTGAGTCACTAAATCTTAAAATAACTGCAGAAATAACAATAATCTAAAATAGACCGCTCCTGAGGACCGGTGGTGATGGTGACGTACGTATCCTTAAATTTAGAAAGACACAACAAAGACACAACAAACCCCAAAATGGGCATGTGCTCCCAAGCAAAACCATTCATGGACAGTCTATTTTTGATGCGCTTGGCTGGTGTAATGCTTACGCGATGAGTCAGAGTGGCCAACTCCGCTCATCCTAAAATAGAAACCCTTCATTCTAAGAATCCATTCTTAAACCAAATTTATACTATTAAATGCCAATTCATATAATGATTATTTGAAATAACTGGGATGCTGATTGATTTTGCTTCTAAGTAATTAAACCCCAAACAGTGCTACATCGCGAGTATCGTTTCAATGTTCAAGGCAAAGAGAATTCAAAGGACAGTGACCGTGGTCCGTACCCTTTCGACCTAAACTGAGCGTTTAGAAATCAGGTACGGCAATCTTGGATGTCCTAAGAGGGGTCCCTTGTCGTAGTATCCCGGTACATACTCACGGAAAGGATGAACACACCACACAAAATTACCTTCCATTTTTTAGTGTGCGAAAGTTTTTGCCAATTTTTAGTAATTGTTGGAATTATTAGTACCGTTCTGCCAATTTGTTAAAGGAAAACAAAAATTTTTATCTGACCAGAATTGATGGCTGAATTTAGGGAATGAATGTGGCCCCTGATCCCACAAAACTGCACTGATGAAAAGTTTCTTGAAAAGTTTCTTGTTTGTACAGCACCAACAAAGTTGCTGCATGTTTCCTGTGCACTTGATGAGGAGAAAGTTTTGCCGGTTTTGTGGCTACGTAATAACTGCAATGTGTGGTGGAAGTGACGGTTTTTATTTTTAGTTAATTTGGAAAATTTGTATTGTAATTATTTGTTGCGGACTTGGATGGTGAATATTACTACACTACCTTATACAAAATTTCTTCGAACCAACCTGTCAGTATTTTAAGAAATTTTCATAACAATAAAGTTTTATCTCTGTTGTTATCACAGATTATGCATATGTACTTGAGGCTCTAGTGATCCGTTATTATTGGCAAACCTTACATGACATCAATTTACGGGTCATACTTTTGCACAAGCATTCGTTACACTTTTTCCTCATAATTAATAAATGTATAGATTTTAGTAATTTTACATTGGCAAAATTTGCAAAATTACTTAGATAAGAATTGGTTCATGGATCTGGTCCGAGTCGTCGAACACGGATGTATTCGCTATTGCGAACTGAGCGCGAATCACCTTCCTATCAACGTTATCCTTGTCGTCGCCATACTGCTGGTGGTAGAACTCGCGTCGCATGAGGGATTCGAGTGTGGTGCAACAGAAGCATAACATTTCGTTAAAGGGACGTCCGAAGTCGTCGCTGAGGGTGGCATAGATTGGCGAATTTAATTGTTTGTATTAGCATGGACTAGGTGTATATTTATTTTTAATTCTAAAACTCTAAAATTACATTAGCATAAGTGTTACAAGCAATTCTACCGTATGATTCATTATTACAAGTGATGTCGCCCTAGCAACGAATTTGCCATCTCCTAGTGATAATTTTGAAGGAGGACATGATTTTGCAAATTTTTTGATCAACTTCGACTTAGCCTTCCGTTTTAGGGTTTCCAATAGCGCGGCAGAATCAACATATGGTATCGCCATTATTTTAAACGGAACTGCAATTACAAACAACAATTCCAGAGCGACCAGAACGAATAAAATCAGAACCGGTATTGGAACAATGTTTGCCGAAGTTATCAAAATATAGAGAGCAGCACTTTCGCATACGATAACTGCACCGACCAATATAATCATGGCGGGTGGTTGAAATGTCAAATTGTGCAGGGTTGACAGTAACTGTAGGGTACGATACTTCGCTACGCCAGAATAGCTTAGTCCGTCCTCTTGTAGAATATATCTGCAAAAAAAGCAAAATAAATATTTTTCTGCAATAATAAATAGATTTTTTAAATAGATTAAAAAAATTTAAAACATTGAAAAGTTTCGGGTAATTTTATACACATGACACAATTCTGTAACGAATCATTACCGCGCAGAGTTCATATGATGTACTTAATATGGTGAAAATTAAAATCTATTAAATGGTTAATCGAATTCCTGCGAAATTCAAATTCTCAAATTTAGACCGCGCGGTAATAAATTTTAATTTCGCGGAAATATTTGTCACCCATTTAGTGGTAGCCCATCATAGTTACTCCGGATGGTAATAATTCACTGCACAAATATTTTAAGCTTACTGTTTCAGAACTTGCAGATTTATCAGCTTCACTTCGACAGGATACAATAGGAACACCACAACTGCAACAACTGCCGTGGCTGTCGCTAACGTCCAAGTGTACCCGGTCAAGATAGATATTCCTAATCTAAACATGATCCCAGTGTGACCATGGTCACTCCACGATTTGCATTCGAGATAAATCATACTGGTCAAAATTGGAGGCATGCAGGGTCGAAAAAGAGACAAGGAGGCAATAGCAGGCGGCGCAAGAGCGATGGCAGACATTCCCAAAACAAAAATTATGATGTAGTAGATGTGCACCGTACTAGTGCCTGGAATTGATATAAATTGTGATTTGTACGATAGACACGTTGGGATTTATTGTGATTTATTGTGATTTTACTTGTCGTAATCTAGGGATATTATACAGATAACATATACCCCTGTAGATGACGACGATTAAAATCACAACAATCCACAGAAATTAAACTACACATTAAAATTACAAATTGTGATAATCACAAAAAATCTTAGTTAGAACATTGGACTTATACGTATGATGGAGTTAAGCGTTTTATGATTTATTTGATCGATATAAAAACCTTACAATTTTAAATTACTTGCCTATCTTCTTGGAATCCAATTCAATTTGAATCGACGAATTAAGCAAGAGTCGAACTTCCTTCTCTATTCGATAAAAATGATGGAAGCCAATCATAATGCCGGAAAATACGGTGAGGAAATATAACATTATTGTTATCCTCCAATTGGCCATTGGCGTATTGGCTGGGTATAACCCCTGATATAGAAACCACTTAAGCAGCAACACGGAATGGAGGAAGAATAACAAAAAATTGAATAATCCTTGAAACTTGGTTTTCCAGTTGGACTTGATCCGCACAAATTTTCGGTTCTTGGGTGTGAAGACGAATTGGTTTAAGGATAGAGTCACCTTTGACATAATTAAGATCATTGGGATATTCGAAGAAGGAAATACTAACTCACGTAATACTTTTAGCGTAACGGACGTCACCTTTGACATTATTAAGACCATTGGGATATCCGAAGAAGGGAATACGAACGCACGTAAAAATTTTGGCGTAACGGACGTCATCTTCTAGCTAATTTTAGGTAATCGAGTTAACTCGACGGGATCTATGTTTCTCTAGTTGCGAATAATCGCCGTACTAGATTCCAAACTTTTTAAAGAAAATAACGAAAGGCTATAATTAAAGGTGAGCATAACAAATTACAGTGTATCGCGATTACATCATCACGTACATGACGCACGTTATAATCCCAAAATATATTTAAAGGTAATTCGAAAACGAAGTACTAGCCTTTTAGAGTCGTTTTTCAGACTAGTTTTTGAAAATAAAATTGCTAACCTACGAAGGTTTTTTTTGTAAATGCGTTGCTAGCTATACGAAGTCGTGATTAATACTCACAAAAAATACTTTAGATGCTTTTATGTCGAGAAGTGATTTAGTATTGCCAGATATTTGAGAAGAACACGATCCAGAGGTGAATTATAGTGTCCAAATAAAATTTATTACTTCTACCAATCAGTTTTACTACTATGCCATTCAGTTGAAATAAATGTAGATAAAGCCAATTTCAATAAATCGTTCTTGAAAAGCAATGAGCAATATTTCAGACGCATATACATAAATCATGTCAATAACCAATTGCGAAGAAACGTATGCCGGAATGGAAAGTGTAAATAATTAAATATCGTTTCCATGTTGCATAGTTTTAGGATATTAAATTAAGTTTTGTCTAATGGATTTATTGATGCAATTTCTTGTGGAAGTATTTTATTGATTTATTAGACGATATCAAGAAGAACCAGGACGATCAATAGGTGCATTCAGGTACATACATTTCCATTTTTAACTGATATCAATAGCGTTCTATTTTTAATAATGGCGAACTATCTAATCAACTCGAATAGTTTAGATTTATTGGTTTTAAAGCTCTTAAAATTGAATGTAAAGCATCTCTTAAAATTTTGAAACGGTGCGTTCTGTATCTATTAGCTTCGAACTTTCGCTATCCGATATCACTTCCGCCGATACTGCATACGGAGTTATTACTTTTCGCACGTTTTTAATTGCCACTTGAACTTATTGTTTACGTCAAAATGTATATTCTAGAAAATTTTTGTGGAATTGTGAATTCCGTAAAGCCATACAAGTTATTATCGATAATGTGAAATGTTCTGGAAAATCAACTCGTTATTAAGTGGCTTTGGCTACTTTATGCGAAGACTTTGTCCGTCTATCTGTCCGTCTGTCTGTCCGTCCGTCAGGAGGATTGCGAGAGAACGGATCGAGATAATCGAGATCGGTTTGCAGCATCATACATATGATGCTACAAAACTGGACAGGCTCATTATTCGACAATGCCAACACGCGCTTAGCTTGTGCCGAACCAAAAATTCCAGGTGTGATTTGTAATAAATCAAGATTCATAACTGTAGTTACTGTGTAGTTGTCTCGTACTGAAACAATGTGATAACTCAACTAAAGCATGTATTTTGAGCTCACTAACTTGCAAAATGGGTTGCCCAATTGTGTCAGCACCCTCCGAAAAACTCTGCAGGCTCACTATTCGACAATGCCAACAGCCGCTTAACTTGTGTCGAACCAAAAATTCCGGGACTGATTTGTACTAAATCAAGATTCATAACTGGAGTTACTGTGAAGTTATCTCGTACTGAACGTTGCTTGTTGTAAATAATATTATTTCAGGCAATGTCCACTAGAAGAAACATGCCGAAAAAGCCAAAAAGGCATCAAACGGGCAAAAAGGCACGCAAAAAGGCAATTGGGGATTGAAAAAGGCAAAAGGCCAAAAAGGCATGAATTTTTTCCCAAAAAGGACACTTTTTGCAAACTCTGCCCACACGCCACAAGTGGTGCCAGACCACCAAACCGATCCGAGTTGGAGATATCATCCTGGAAGTTAACGACAATTTGCCAAGAAATACCTGGCCCATGGGAAGAGTAACGAAGCTCTATCCAGGGAAAGACGACATTATTCGGGTAGTAGACATTGTATTATCGAATAGCAATGTGTATCGAAGGCCAGTTGCCAAACTGGCCTTCGATACACTGAGGGGATAGTACAGGAATTTCACTACGCCAAGTGATTTTTATCCTAGCTGGTCTAGCTTCAAGGTCCAGTGCATACACTCTAAACAAAATCGCCACCAAAATCGTCTCTGCGTGTAGGCACTATGCGGCTCTAAGAACGGGTGACATTTCGTCTCCTCGGGGAGACAACTTATTTTGTCTCCGTTCTGGTGATAAAAGATTTTATCTCCGTCTGGTAGTATTTTGCCATTGGGAGGTAATAAACTTACTTAAACCTGGAAACAACGTGTCTCACCGAATGAAAACAATTCACTGCTGCTTTTTAGTATGCATGATCTCTTTTGGGAAACGTACTGCCTACAATGCGGAATCAAAATTTCTAGGATTTTGTTACGATGTTTAGTCTAAATTCATTTTATTTGTCCCCAATAGTAATACAGTAAATAACTCCGTATCAATATCAGTATCATTAATTGATTAAAATTTTTCATAGATGACTGACAAATATATTTCAAATTACTTAAACTTGCCCTTTCAGTTCAATCAATTTGCATCCTGAACAGTGTTATGTATTTTGCTGGAGATAATTGGCGATTCAATTATCTACAATTAAACAATAAAAAATTATCATTAAACTTAAGAAGCAATTTTACAATCCATTAGAATTAATGTATCAAATAGAGACAAGTTTACGTGTTAGTAATTTTCTAGGTCAGAATCCTCGTTAGTTAAATGGTGGTATCTTCAAATCTTGGTGGGGTGATGGAAGCGCGGAAGAAGATAAGTGATTGTCAATTATAAACAAATCAAGAATAGTAATAATAACAGACAAATTTATGAAACAAATCATACTCAAAAATAATTACTGCCTAATTTTTTCCCTTCAGTCGTATTTAATTAAACTTACCATAAATTACTTGTTTTCCCTCAATTTTTAAAATAAACTCAGGTATTCGTCAGGTGCGTCCTAAAATATTGGGAAAATAACTTGATCTGTCACCGCACCCTGCTCATCCCCTCAATAGATATGTACTTCCGGATCACAATAGTTTTTTCGCTAAACCATAAATAAATAAAATTAACAAGTTGCAAGCTCAATATTTTACTACATTAATTACCGTAGGGTGGCCCGGCCTTCTGAGAACGACTTCTGACCTTAATTTCTAAAGAATCTTCTTGCCATGGAGGTTTCTATTGTTCTCTATGTGAAAGCCCTTGTTTCGAACTATAGATCGACACCTTTGAATCCAACTTTTGTACACTTTGCTTACAGTGGCAGCGGTAACTTTAGACCACTCATCTTTTACACTTTCCAAAGTCCTGGATTAGTGTAAGGACGTCTCCCCCAACATTTTATTTTCAGATAACCGAAGCCGAAAAAGTCCATGGGACTTGCATCTGGTGGCTTCACAGGGGTTTCACTATTCGAAATAATTTTTATACCAACTTTATTTTTTAGGGTCTTCGCATAGTTCTGGGTTAAACGAGCGGTGTGAGACGACGCGGCGTCGTGGTGAACTACGACTTTCGACGTGTCCCTGCCGACTAACTTTGGCATGCGAACTTCCAAAAGAGGTTTCGAAACAAAGTGTATATAGTAGGCTGCATTAATTTTTACTTGTTGTGGAATTTTGATTAGTGGGAGCACACCACGACCGGATATAGCACCCACTACCATGAACTTGTTACAAAAGTTCTCCTTGCGTTGATACGCCCAGTTTGGTTAATTTTTATGATATACTACCTACCGCCTAGCGCCTATCTTCCTACCGCCTACCGCCTACAGGGCACTTCCTACCGCCTAAACGTCCAACGCCTACTTCCTGCCGCCTAAAATATCCACCGCCTACTTCCTATCGCCTAAACCTCTACCGCCTACTTCCTACCGCCTAAAACACCTATCGCCTACTTCCTACCGCCTAAAATTTCTACCGCCTAAAATTTTTTAATGAATTTTTCGACGTTTCAGACCATTCTATGAATTGATCTAATTTTACCCAACAGCGGGAAATTTGTGGGGTATTATGAGATTAGCACTTCCTTTCACATAAAAATAGGTTTATAGAAATCATATGGTTGGCTACAGCGCCTACTGCCTAGCCCTTAAATAAGCAGGCAACAGCGCCTAGCACATACTAGGCTGGCCACAGCGCCTAACACAGCGCCTGTGGGGTAAGTGGAGATTTCCACTTTTTAATGCAGAATATCGAATTCCCACAAAGCGGAAGCTCTTTTGGGGATATTACGGGTT